TTAACAAATCATTTTGGAGCACCTGCCTTGTGTAAGGACCAGGTACTGGGAGGAGATCAATGAGAAATTACATGCCCTGCCATTAACCTCTCAAGGCAGCTGAGAAAGGTACAGAGTAAACAGGAAATGAGAGCTCTCTAACAAAAGTGTCTTCACAGGACTGAGTCTTCATGGTGCACATAGAAAACTTCTTTGTGGGATTGTCACACAATTTAAACACTTGCTAAACTATAGGTTTTCTATTTTCTTTTTTTTTTTTTAAGATTTTTTTAAATTTATTTTTTATACAAGAACTGGGGTACAGACCAGATGCATGGGAGGGTGAGAGGATTCTCCAGAGACAAGTGTGGGGAACAGAACAGGCAGACTGACGAAATACATAGAGGGGAGCAGCAGGCAAGGCAGGAGAGGTCTGCTTCGCCATATGGGATTCTCACCGGCTGGCCGGGATCAAACCCATGCTGCAGAGGCTGCGGACAGCTTCATATTTGGGCGTTCAACCGCCTGCACCACCAGGGAGGCCCAGGTTTTCTATTTTCGTTAGATTTCAAACGCACATGAAATTCAAAAGCATCGTCCTGGAATGAGTAATATTACTAACAGCATCTGACCTGATCACCTTATCTGAATATGTCTGCAAGACTGAGTATCACACAAATACAGTGCCTGGCATGTATCAAAATATTGTTCACTATCCTCTTCTATTTTGAATAAAAATTTAATGCACACATCAACAGGTATATCTTGTCAGCTCCAGTCTCAGTGTTCCTATCTACAAGATGGAAATATTACTGCCACAGACCAAAGGTAATTGAGTTCAAATACAAAAACAATGGTTAAAGTTAATGAGCAAAAAATTATCCTATGATTATTACCACTATGATAAAGTGAATTATAGTATTTATTATCCTGTAATAATTAGTGGAATTATCAAATTCACACAGAAGACTACCAATCATCAACCTGGGCAGAGGCATCAAGGACACTAAGACTCCTCTGACCTTTTCTTTACAAATATTTCATTGACCTTTGGCTTCTTTATATAAGTGTCCTCGTTTTCCCACTTCTTGAACTGTTCCTTCTCTTAATCACTTCACTTTTTCTATTGACCAAGACAGCCTTACAATTTCCCTCAGCTGGATTAAACATGAAACAGGTTTCTTCCTGACTATACATGCCTGGTCCCTGAGCAACTTTTTTTTAGAGAATCTACTTGAGAAAGCTTATAATTGCAAAATAATTCTCTTCTTCTTTGAAATGTATAGAACTCTCATTTAATGTGTCTTTTCAGTTTTATAGATTCCAAAGTAGACTATCTTTCTTGACCTGAGCATCATCCCTTTGGTTATAATCATTAAAGAAAATGCTGCCAATTGCCATTCCCTGTGGCAATTTGGATTCTAATTTCCAAGAGTCCCTTGCTCTGAATTTCAACACTAACTCCTACCAGGAGACAAGAAGAACATTTACTTTTCCTTCAGATAGAGTCAATTAGCAGATGCAGATGGCTGTACTGCCTCCACCTCAGATCTTTAAAACTGTCTAGCCCTGTGTCTCAGCAGAGTTCCGCTTACCTCCCCTATTGTATTCATCTTGAATATGGTCTTCCTTTCCTGTTTAATATTTCCCAAGCTATTTTTCTTTGGAAGGAGGAAAAGGGAGAAAACAGGAAGGAAGGAAAGAGGGATAGAAGGACGGAAGGAGGACGACAGAAGGAGAGAGTAGCAGGGGAGGGAGGGAGAAGCAGGAAAGGAAGGAAGAAACAGATCTGACAAATTCATAGTTATCCTTCCTTCAATCAAAGGGTATTTAAAATTAAAATGTCAAAAAGTACAATTTCAGAATTAAGTATTTCTTTCAAGTTAGATCAATCCAGCATTATGAAAAATGTAATCCATTTTGTTCTCCTCCCTTTCTTTTATTTCTGCACTGACTTCTCTGCACTGAAATTGAGGAGCCACAAACCCACCTGCAGGATGCAACCTAAACTCATCTCTTCTTTTTGACTATTGGTAATCAGGTCTAAATTACTCAATTTCTAAGCTTTCCCTTCAATATTTTCACTTTGATTGAGTGTACATACTCTCAGTACCTGTTTGCTATAGATCTCTATAAAGTGTTTGTCCCTCCTGTTTATAAATATTTATGGAAACCCAGTTTCCATAAATACCAAACCTCTTTCTCATACTCTTTCACTGCTTACTCTACCTCCAGAAAGCCACTTTTTCACTACAAATCATAAGGCATTTAGTCAACAACTTCACTCCACACAACACTTCTCAGATGTGTACCTCCCATCCAGAACTCTCTCTAGAACTCCAGACTTGTACATTCAACTGCCTTTCTGCCACTGCCACTGTGATGGTCAACAAACACCTTTTGCTCAAAATTTCTCAAACACAACACCTTATCTTCAAAAACTTCTCTACCTCATGCCAACTCATCTTTCTAGTTGCTCAGGTAAAAAGGCTGGAACCTTAATGTTTTCTTCTTATATCCACTTCTAACCTGTCCAGGTATTCCAGAGGCTGCACCTTTGCAATATAGTCAAATGCAACACATCTCAACATCTCCATTGCTATCTCCCTGGCGGAGCTACCCAACCCTCTCCTAAATTACTGAAACACCCACAGAATTCATCTCCATCTTTCCACTTCGGCCCTACCTACAAAGTTTATTTTTACACAGCAGCCAGAATGGTCCTTTTAAAATATTAAGTCATGTCCTGTCACCTATCATTTCTCTCAGAAGAAAAGCTCCAGTCACACAATCATTTACAAAACCCTAACTGATTTATCTGCCTCCCGCCACTCTGTTTTACTCACCCCAAGTTGCCTCCCTCTTTTTTCCCCTCCCTGCTATTTCCACTCCAGCACACTGGCTGCCTTGCTGTTCTTTTTTTTTTTTTTTTTTTTTAAGATTTATTTATTTATTTATACAAGCACTGGGTACAGTCAGAAGCGCAGGGAGGGTGAGAGAATGAGAGAATTCACCAGAGCCATAGCAGAGAGCAGAACAGGCAGATCGACGAAGTACACTGCTGAGGGGAGCAGCAGGTGGCAGGAAAGGTCTGCAGCATGTGGGACCTTCGCTGGCGGCAGCCGGGGATTGAACCGGCGCTGCAGAGGCTGCGGCAGCTTCGCAACCCAGCGCTCTGCTGCGCCACCAGGGGAGACCTTGCCTTGCTGTTCTTTAACACAGTCCCAACTTAGGCTTTGTTCTAGCTGCTGTCCCTGCGTGAAGCACACTTTCCTGGGGGAGGCCTTCAGGACCACCTTTCCTCAAATATTTGTTCAAATATACCTTTCTCAATGAAAATTACTTTGTTCCCTTATCTAATATTACAACTGTGCTTTCATTCTCTTTGTACCTCAGAGACAACTAATACCCCTTTTTCTGAGATCACTTTATTAAAACTCCTCGAGGCACATTATGCTTTTCTGAGAACTAGCAAGACCTAGGATCACATCTTCTAATATGTAACCTGTAAATTCCAAATGAGTTATTTAAACTCAGGCAAAGACTCGAGTTCTTGCTTGTGTAGAAAAAGTGAAAAAAGAGGGGTTGGAAGTGCAGAAAAGAAAGAAGAATAGAAGAATGCAATTTCTGTGAGTTTAACACCAAGAAACTATATACCACAAATGTTTGTAATCATGACCACATCCTGAAGCCAAGAAAACTACAGATTGCAACATCCACAAAACTTACAAATTGCAACGTGTTAGAGACAAAAAGGGGGTTGGGGAACACCTAGCTATTTTCAAAATAGAAGCCAGTATTGATAAAGAGTTATCTAGGGAATTCAAGAATGACCCAAACATCCACATGGATGCTTGATTTTCCTGCAATGCAAATAATCAAGAATGAGAAACACAACTGTCACTATTCAGACAATATGGGGTGTTTTTCTTTTGGGGAGGAAGGAATAACTCAAATTAATGGATCAAAATATAAAACCATGAAGCCATGAAATGTGAGGAAATGGTAAACTGGGATTTTGTTCTTTTGAAGGACAAGAATTTTTTTTTCCTTTGATTTATATATATATATTTACAAAGAAATTATACTCATGAAAATAACAGTCATACAGTCAGTCCCTTTTAGTGCTTCGTGTCTTTGTGGAAAAAATCTTTATTACCAAAACTTTCCATAAATTCAAAATATTAACTATAAGGAAAACAGTCATCATCAGTGTTTACATTTTCAAATACTGCATCTTAAGTAATGCAGATCATCCATCTGAATTAAAATATACTTTCAATCTAAATATCAATATCCCATCCCTTACTCACACCAACATGGACAAAATGAATCATCCACTAAGATTAATAATAATTTCAAAAACATAAATGTTTGGGATCCATAATCCAACACACATAATAAGAAAACATTCATCTACATATTTTATGTTTTAAGAAAGAATACATCACTTGGAAATCATTCTCTTGCCTTATGTTGATGTAAACATGATTTGAATTTTATAAATAGCCAATAAAATAGTATGCTCTCTTAAAATCCCTTTTAAAGGAGACTGAAAAAAAGAACAAAACAATCTAAAATAAATTTTAGATGAATTTTTTTTGTAACAGTCTCCAGCATAATTGTCTGTACCTTATTTATTCTAGCATGCAACAATACTGAAGGTCCATATATAATTTCTGGACAATGTTAATTTTTTTTTAAAGAATTAAGATGTTATTTTTTTTAAAGAATTATTTATTTATACAAGAACCGGGGTACAGGCCAGATGTATGGGAGGGTGAGAAGATTCGCCAGAGACAGAGCAGGAAACAGAGCAGGCAGACTGAGTGAAATACACTGCTGAAGGGAGAAGCGGGCAAGACAGGAGAGGTCTGCCACACCATGTGGGTATCTCTGCAGCCAGTGGGGATCGAACTGGCACTGCAGAGACTGCGGACACCTTCACAGCACTGCGCCACCAGGGAGGCCCTGGACAATGTTAATTTTTAAAGATAATTCCACACAAACTTTTTACTTACACATTCCGTAGCTGTGACTATTAATGAGCTGGAAAGTACAGATTTTCCTCCATTAAAGCTCACTGAAACATCGAGAGTTCTAAAAGACAATGAAGAAACAATAATTAAATAAATTAAAAACTAAAGGATTGTAAGAAACTTTACTTCCTCATAACATTCAAAACCAGCCAGAAATCCACTTGAAAACTGATAGTTTTCAGTTATCCCAGGTTTTTCATTTTTTAGTTTCTGTCCTTACTAAGTAAGCCAGTAGGCAAATTTCTGAAATTACTAATAGAAGCATTAGCATAAATCCAAACAGTATAAAATTCCTTAATCCAGGGACTTGTTGAGATTGTTTCAGGTTCATAAACATATAAAGGGGGGAAATCTAGATCTCATTTAATTTTTTCTGTCTCCAGACATTACTATCATCATAAGAACATTGTTTAAGAATATAAATTGGCAGTAACAAACCATTCAGGAATAAAATATAGAGAAAGTAACAATGAAAGACAGAGATAAATTGAGGGGAAAAAAAATCATTCAGTTTATTTGTAGGCATTTGTTGCACATGGTCCCAGAACATTAAAATATCCTAACAAATGTAGAATATTTTTTACCCATGGCTAAGAAATATCATACTTAAAATACAGTTCTCAATGTGAAAATATGATTTTTAAATTATAAAACAATAACTATTACTCATTAATTCAGATTCTAGAAATTTATTATTTATTATATTTAGGTCAGCCAGGAGTAACTTTTTTAAAAAAAGCGTATCAAAGGGAAAAAAATGGACAAAGAGATTTTAAAGTATTGAGTAAAATGTTCTTTTCTAAAATAGTTTACAAATTACATTATCATATGAGTGTGCCAATAAATCAAAACTATCCATTCATTAGAGCAAAAATAGCAATATTTTATTAACCTGTCTTCTGTACAGTCCATGTTTCAATTCACATAAATATTCTAAATTTCAAAAACAGAAACTTGCCTGAAGTACTCTGAATTAGAAGAACTTTGTTATATTTAGATATCTTCTCTATATCATGAATTGAGTGCCAAATACTACTAGTTATAGAATTAGGATAAAACAAGTAATCTCAAACAGCTAGTAAAATTTCAATAATGATGCCAGAGAAGAAGGATGAGATGTGTTATGCAGTCCCTGATATATGCCAGATGCTATCCTAGGCATTTTATGGACATTATCTCATTTAATTCTTGCAATAGCCCTTACAGTAGTTTCACAATTTTACAGATGGGGTACTTAAGGCTCAGAAAGCCTAATTACCTTGCCCAAAGTGGTAAAGTTAGGATTCTAACTAATTTTGAACTCTTTCCATCAGACCTCAGAGGTTTGATGAAATAAAAGTTCTTAAAATGTTTATTTTTTTCAATGTGATATTTAGTTTGAATTCATACAGGAATAGAGCCACCAGGAAAAATATTATTAGCAAACTTCTAACTCAACTCTTCTTCCACATTCAGGAGTAATCTTATAAAAAAAAAATGTATTTCCTATAATATTGTCCCTTCATAACATTTTCCTTTTAAAGGACTAGCTAAATCTAGGAAAAAATGAGAAATTGAGGTGTTTATGTCAACTGAACTTCTGAACTAATTCAGCACAGAATATCTGGTGGCTTATTTAAGAAAGAAAACAACTTAACCTTAATTGCTTACTCTGCAGAATTGAGTACCTTTTTGTTGTTGTTGTTGTTGGTTTTTGAAGACTAAGCAAAGTTGAATCCAAAATAATCTTTTCTAGTTCTACTTTCCTTTATTTGAAAGCTTGTACCAGAAAGTACATGACATGAGAGGCATGGTTTTAGTTTGAGGGAAGAATATTTGATTCATAATAACATATGAGGTTGTTATCGTTTTAATTCAACTTTTAAGGGATTAGTAGATATGGACTGAAGTTGTTTATAATCTTGTAACTGGTAGCTGAAGCCAAAAGACTGTTACAGGTGGTGGCCCCTGGAGGGGGTTGCTGGTGAGATTAGAAAGACCCAGGGAAAATGCTAAAAAGTATTGAATTTTTGGGGTGGAGTTACCCCTAAGTAATATAAGGGACTGCAGAAGGCGGCACAGATTTATTCAGACTTTGGGATTCAGCCTTTTTCAGATCTTCAGCATTTGGGGTCAGTAGATTTTGGCCCCCACTGCGCAGATCTTCCAGAAAGCTGTTGTGGGCCTCTGAATGTGGAGAGGCCACCTGCAGCCAACCTCAGAGAGGAAAAGTACAGAGCTTTGCAAGTACCTGAGAAAGTGAAACTGTTTCTGGTTTTGTGGCTGTTACAGTCTGGCTGGGCACCTCACTGAGCTGCATGAGTGTGGCCATTTGTGAGGTTGTTCAGCCACTGCAGCTGCTATCTTGAGTGTGGCTTGTCTGGTGCTGCACTGGGGCATCCCAGGAGCTCCAGGGGCATCTCCTGTTGTCTTCCTGAGGTGGAACCTGGCCTGGTTTCCACGCGCTCCAGGTTGGACACATAGCCTATTTAGGAGAGGAGCTCCACATCCACAGTGGTGGGAAGACACCATCTTAACTGCTTTTGTTTTAGGATTGAAAAACACTGGTGTGGTAAAGGCCATTTTTGGCCTCAGTATCTCTTTGTTTTTCCCTGGTTTGTTAAATAAATTCCATTGTTGTTGTTCCCCGAGCCTGAGAAGTCTTGCAATTGTGCACGTGGGGGAAGAATTCAGACAGTGACCAGTAAACTATTTGGGTAGTGTCCTTAGCCAGTTTTAGTTAGTTACCCAAAAAAGAATAAAAATAGAAGATATACTTTGACACTGAAGTTCACTTTTTCTGTAGTAGAAATGTAGGCTTATGAGATCACGTAGTCAACCAAAATAAATGTACCAAAAAGAAGGAACTAGCCTTCAGAGCTACCTGATAATATGGACCCAATTGAAACAATATAATCTTCACCTTGCTGAGTGTAGCAGTGGAATAACCAAACCATTTCCATCAACAACAGTACTAAAATAATTGCATTTTCAGTTCCTTACTATGGGTCAGACACATTACAAGCACCTTCTTATTCAATTCTCCCAGAGAAGCAGCCATTGACGTAAATAGTAATATTGTCTTTGTTTTCTTTTCTTTTTTCTTTTTTTAAAGATTTATTTATTTATTTACACAAGCTCTGGGTTCATTCAGAAGCGCGGGAGGGTGAAAGAATTCACCAGAGTCTGAGCGGAGAGCAGAGCAGGCAGACTGACGAAGTACACTGCTGAGGGGAGCAGAGGGCAGCAGGAGAGGTCTGCGCACCATGTGGGACCCTCACCTGGCGGCCGGGCATCGAACCGGTGCTGCAGAGGCTGCTGGCAGCTTCGCAACCCAGCACTCAACTGCTGCGCCACTGGGGGAGGCCCTGTCTTTGTTTTCCAAGAGGAATCTGAAGCTTACAAAGTAGCTTGCCCAAATGTTGGACTTCTCTGACTATTCGAAGTGTTTTTATTGCTACCCCATTCTACTTTAATCTGGATCAATATTTTAGGTTCTTATATTTAAGTTTCTCTCATTGGCAAGAACTTAGTATCTCTCCTCCAGTTTTTACTATATTCAAATATTTCTCATGGTTAACTAGGATGGCATTTACTACATAACAAGATTATATAAATACGTGTGTGTGTGTATGTATTTGCTGGGAAATTATTTTCAGATATGTTGCAAACATGAAAAACACACTCTAAAAAGTTACTTTTGTTTTTAAATTTTGTCATTATTTTAGAAAAACATTTTTTAATTATTGGTAAGCTATTGGCACCATCCTGTAGCTGATACCTTTGCCAAAGCTACGCTACTCCTCTGCGGCAGAAGGATTGAAAAAGCCACCCCATCCTCTAAATAAACCCAATGTCTTCACTTTTTCTTGCCCCAAGACTCCAATATATATATGTAATTAATATCTTCTGGCATACGTTGTTTGTATAAGTATCTGTGGATTACTTATGCCTATTTCTATGAAACTGCTAATTCTGGTTAGTGTGTTAGTGTTAGTAACACCCATACTCTCAGTTACAGAGAGTTAATTATGAACACAAATTTAAAAAAGCTATGGTGTTTTTATTTACTCCATACCTAAGTGTTGGGAGGGTTCGTGATTAGTTTTCCCACAAATGAAATAAAATTTCAAAGGGTACAGATCTGACCTACATGTTGGGGTATAAGAACTCCTGGATTGAAATCTTAATTGCTACAATCTCCATCTTGCATTCCTCAATTTGTAAAATGGGGACATCACCTATCAAAGAGTTATGTAAATACATATTATCTAAGAATTTGATAGTATAATGTACATAAAATGTAAAACAGTGACTAGAACATAGCAGGTAGTATGTAAATTATAACACCTGTCTAGCAAATTATACAGAATATCAAAGTACATTGTTATAAACCTTTTAGATACACATCGAAATAAACAACACAAATAATATATTATAGAAGACTGTATAGCAGCAATGAAATAATCATCTAACTCTTAATTTTATATGATTCTATTACACTAGAATCATACAAAAAATATAAAGAACTAAAAATTGTTCAAAAAATGTGTAAAAAACATAATGCAAGTTCTTGCAAAGAAATTTTTCAATATTATTTCCTTCCTGTAACAAAATACTCCTTTGAGTAAACCTAATAGCTGTGTTAAATTATATGTTTCAACCTGAACCCTACAAACTGAAATCAAAATTGGGTGACTAATGATTGCCAATAAGCTTATTCAATCAGTCTCTTAATGTATCCATTATTACTTAATTAAACAAATACTTAGAAGTTGCCTACAATAGTTCATGTTAGATTGTGCATGGTAAGAGTGCCATAATAAGAAATAAAACACAGCATTGCAATGTACCTGAAAGGACGCCACAGAAACAAACAATTAGAGTGTATACCAGCAGTATGTACTAGCAGACCTGTGGAGACACAAATGACTCCACCTTGCCACGGAGAAATAACAAAGATTTCCTGGGGAAAGTCATCTCTAAGATGAATCCAAGAGAATGAGCAAGGTTAGTTAGGAAAAAAGATCAGAAAGGAATCAAAAAATCCCTACTGAATGGGAGAAGATATTTTCACATCAT